ATGATACCCGACCCGGTGTATTTTTCCCACACTCACTGGATTTACTCAAACACTTTATTATTCTCTCACTGAAAAATACTCACACACAAGAATACTTAAAATTTCTTCTTGATGTTTTTCATTCTCTCCATTGGTGTGATTTCCTTCGCTGAATACCCCATCTATTTATAGAGGCGAAGTGCAATTAAAGAAAACTGTGGGCTTCTTCGGTAGATGCAAAAACCATCTACTTCACCCACTTCTTCATATTTTATTATTTTTTTTTCTTTTCTTTTCTTTTGGTTGGTCAACCAAGGTAGCTGGACCTACAATTCTCCCCCTCCAGCCAAAGGGTAATATAAGCAACTCATTACATGCATCCCATGCCGATCAACTCGGCACAAAGTTGTAGCTTTCCTCCTGTACAACTTCCGTCATCATGTCAGCAGGATTTTCGTCAGTGTGAATCTTTTCCAACTTGAACTGTTGTTTTTCCACTGTTTGGCGTAGCCAATGATATCTGACATTAATGTGCTTCGTGCGAGAGTGGTACATCGCATTCTTACTTAAATCCAATGCGCTCTGACTATCGCAATGGATATCGTACCTTTCTTGTTTCATTCCCAATTGTTGAAGAAACCTCTTCAGCCAAAGTATTTCTTTTCCCGCTTCTGTCAGTGCAATATACTCGGCTTCAGTAATCGACAAGGCAACAAATTTCTGCAATTTAGATTGCCAAGATACAGCTCCTCCTACAAATGTAAACACAAGTCCTAATATAGATTTTCTACTATCCAGGTCACCTGCCATATCCGCATCTGTATAACCCTCAAGAACTGGGTTTCCTTTGCCAAAGCTCAAGAATTTATTTGCACTACCTTTTAGGTACCTCAAGATCCACTTCACAGCTTCCCAATGATCCTTCCCATGATTGGAAATATACCTGCTAACAATTCCAACCGTGTGAGCAATATTTGGTCTAGTACAAACCATGGCATACATCAAACTCCCGACTGCAGAGGAATATGGAATACTCGCCATAACTTCTTTTTCTTCTTGACTCGTAGGACAACTTCGTTTACTTAGTTTGAAGTGATTGGCCAACGGTGTATTGACTGGCTTACCCGTTTTCTTGTTGAATCTCTCCAGAATCAGATTCACATACCTTTCTTGCGATAACCATAACATCTTGGATTTCCGTTCTCGCATGATCTGGATGCCCAAAATTTGTTTTGCAGTGCCTAGATCCTTCATGTCAAAGGACTTTGACAAAATTCCTTCTTCAGATCACCAATCAACTTTATACCCTGTCCCACTATAAACAGATCATCTACATATAACAAAAGGATAATGAATTTATCACCTGGAAATTTCTTAATGAACACACAATGATCAGCATCAGTCTTTGTATATCCATGGCTCGCCATAAACGAGCCAAATTTCTTGTACCACTGTCTCGGAGCTTGTTTCAGTCCATACAAGCTTTTCGTTAATCTGCAAACCATGTTCTCCTTTCCAGTCTTCTCAAATCTTTCTGGTTGCTCCATGTAGATTTCTTCATCTAGGTCTCCATGAAGAAATGCAGTCTTCACGTCTAGTTGTTCAAGCTCCAGATCAAAGCTAGCCACCAATCCAAGTATTACTCGAATAGAGCTGATCTTTACAACCGGAGAAAATATCTCATCAAAATCTATTCCTCACTTTTATCCAAATCCTTTGACAACTAACTGAGCCTTGTACTTTAACAGCTTGTCACCATCTTTCTTAAGCTTGAACACCCATTTATTCTTCAAGGCTTTTCTGCCTTCCGGAAGCTTCACAAGCTCATAAGTTTCATTTTTCACCAGTGAATCCATTTCTTCTTTCATAGCTTTCATCCACTATGATTTATCCTTATGAGTCTGTACTTCTTCAAAGCTTTCTGGCTCGTCCTCTTCAGTGATGGTAATATACGTAGAACTAGGGTACCTCGTAGATGGTTGGATCGCTTGATTTGATCTCCTGAGCTGAGGCAGAGCTTCGAGGTCTTCTTGCTCGACACCTTCACCATCACCATCTTCAATTGCTGCTTCATCATCAACCATGAGTTCTCCATTACACTCTCCCCCTACTGCAGTATCTCTAGGAGGTTGAACAAGTGAAAAGATCCACCTTACCACCTGGTTCTCTAGTTTCTGGTGAAGCAGAATCAGACATAGTTTCTTGCTCATGGAATAATACATCTCTGCTTCTGACAATTGTCCATTTTTCTGGATCCCATAACATGTAGCTAAATTCCTCATCTCCATAGCCCAAAAATATACAAGGAATAGCTCTATCATCAAGTTTCGTCTTTGTTCCTTTCTTACGTGAGCAAAAGCTTTGCATCCAAACACTTTTAAATGAGAGTATTTAATATCATGTCTGGACCTTACTCTCGCAGGGATATCAAAGCCAAAAGGAACAGATGGAGATCGGTTGATCAGGTAGCACGCCATTAGAACAGCTTCACCCCAGAATGTCTTAGGTAGCATAGCCATTCTTAACATACACCTCACTTTCTCCATAATGGTTCTATTGATTCTTTCAGCCACACCATTATGATGTGGGGTTCCAGGTACGGTCTTCTCATGCCTAATGCCATGATCAGCACAATAATTCTTGAATTCATGGGAAGTATATTTCTCTCCAAAATCTGAGCGAAGACACTTTAAAGGTTTACCAACTTGTCTCTCCACCATAGCGTGAAACCTTTTGAAGTGCTGAAAATTTTTGTCTTTCATTCTCAAGAAATACACCCACAATTTTCGTGAAGCATCATCAATAAACGTCACGAAATATTTGCTACCACCGAGACTCTCCTCTTCCATGGGTCCACATACATTAGAATACACCATCTCCAACACATTCTCTTTCAGCTTCGAGGTTTTACTGAAAGACACTCTATGATGCTTCCCAAAGAGACAATAATCACAAGGATTCAGTTTTGAATCTTTGGCAAATGGGATGAGAGACTTTCTTGTCAAAATTTGCAATCCTTTTTCACCAATATGAGCCAGTCTTTTGTGCCACAAATTTGGCAAAGCATCACCTTCGACTACATTCAGTCCACCTTTGATCAGCTACACTTGAGTTCTGTACAGTGTCGATCTCACTGTACCTTTAGCAGCTAACAATGATCCTTTGGTAACCCTCCATGTTCTGCTACAAAATTGTTAGTATAGCCTGCTAGATCCAATGCATGCACAGAGATCAAATTCAGACGTAAGTCAGGTACATGTCGTACATCCTTCAGTGTTATTGTGCACCCAATATCAGTTTGAATGCATACATCACCAATTCCCACAATATTTGCAATGTTGTTGTTGCCAATCTTTACTCTACTAACGTCTCCTTCTTTGTATAGAGAAAAAAATTCCTTGTGAGAGGTTGCATGGTAAGATGCTGCTGAGTCAATGACCCATTAAACACATTAATTTGCAACATGACACTCTTCTTCTTCAATAGAGAGCAACACCACTTCCCCATTGATCACGGGGTTTGCGGTATTTTCATCGTTCTCTGATTTGTTTCCTCTGATCTCTGTTCTTCTAGGCTTTGCAGTTTCTTTTGATATGTCCTTCTTCACCGCAGTGATAACACTTGAATTTTCTTCTGGATTGAGATTGTGGTTTCTCTCTGCATTTGTTATCCCGGCCTCTGCTTTTACTTCTCCCCCTGGTTTCTGTGACCAGGGCTTGGGAGCTGCTTGCCCCGAAATCTTTTCTTCTTGTTTCTTCATTAAACATACTGTCTTTGACTTGGGTCAAAGTCAGTTTTCCTTCAGGAGCAGAGTTGCTCAATGAGACCACCAGAGTCTCCCAACTATCCGGTAAAGAACTCAAAAGTAGCAACGCCAGCAGTTCTTTATCAAGTTTCATCTCCATGGTAACAAGTTGGTTTACCATGTCTTGAAACTCATTCAATTATTCTGCAACTGATCTTCCATCCCGATATTTTAAATTTATAAGCTTTCTAATTACGAAAGCTTTATTTTGTGTAGTCTTCCTTTGATACATCTGCTCAATTTTGTTCCACAGAGTATGGGCTTTCGACTCTGTGGCAATATGGTGGAATATGTTGATATCCACCCACTGTCTGATTAAACTGACAGCCTTCCTGTGTAATTTTTTCTAGTCGTCATCCTTCACGTCATCTGGTTTGTTATCTCCTTTTTCTACAGGATCATACAGATCTTTGTAGAAAAGTATGTCCTCCATTTTTGGCTTCCAAATGGAATAGTTTGTTGCTGTCAGCTTCACCATGGTACCCACGTTCTCTTCTATTTAATTTACACTGGTTGATACAGAGCCCAATTTCGGCTCTGATACCACTTGTTGGGCTCAGATGCACAAATCCAGAAGGTGTAAATTAAAACATCAATGTGAAATGGTGAATAATAATAATAATCTCAACAACTCAAGAATGACAAAAGAAATCTCTTGCAATAAAACAGGAATAATTCTTTTCTGATGTGGAAGATCATATTAAACTGCGACCACAGAGCATACCAAGAATGTCCCAAATAAATAAAATATGCATGAAAGAAAACACTAAGATTTAACGTGGAAAAACCTCCAATGTAGTGGAAAAAAACCACGGGACAACCTCCGAACAATTCCACTATATTTTCAAGATACTTACAATATCTTTTCACACTCCTCTACACTAGAAATGTAAAATATAGTGACCCAGTGAAACTCCACTCCTATTCAAACATTACAAATAAGGAGTAATAGAGATGATACCCGGTCGGGTGTATTTTTCCCACACTCACAGGATTTACTCAAACACTCTATTTTTCTCTCACTGAAAAATACTCACACACAAGAATACTTAAAATTTCTTCTTGATGTTTTTCTTTCTCTTCGTTGGTGTGATTTCCTTCGCTGAATACCCCTCTACTCTATTTATAGAGGGGAAGTGCAATTAAAGAAAACTGTTGGCTTCTTCGGTAGATGCAATAGCCATCTACTTCACCCACTTCTTCATATTTTATTATTATTTTTTTCTTTTCTTTTCTTTTGGTTGGTCAACCAAGGTGGCTGGAACTACACTTGGGCGGCTATTAGATGATTACTGATAATTTGTTTTCACCAAAGATCGAGAAAGATGGGGAGATTGAGAGGCTCACACGGCGAGCTTCGGAACTCCATAAATCAAAGAGGCAGTTGATGGAGCTTTTGGAGCAAAAGGATTTGGAAGTTACGAAGAAAAATGTCACAATTAAGAGTTATCATGATAAGATTGTAAGTATTTTGTCTTTGTTCATCTTATATCTTGGTTGTTACTTGTTGCTAAAATTACATGTGTACCTAAATGTATTTTATTTGGTGTAAGTTGAAATTCTACGTGTGTACCTCAATGTGCTGCTTATTTATCTTTTCATGGAGTGGTCGCTATATCTTATTTGGATTATAGTGTTTAGCTGTATTTTCTTTTTAACTGTTCTCTGGGAATAATGCATCTGAGCATATGTACTGCGATGGTAACTATTTATGCACCACAAACTTGTGTACTCTTTTCTTGACTACCTTATTTGAAGGTAAGTTTGACTGAAAATGTCGCTTCAAAAGACGCACGCGTGGGAAAACTGGAGGCTGAATTGGGACGATTGCAGGCAGGCTTCGTCCTCCCGCCTTTTGCAGGTGACCCATTTGTGGTTTCAGTTATGGGCTGTCAACTTCTAGTTTTCATATTTTGAAGTTATTTCCATGCTTTCTACTGTACGTTCTTTCCTGTTTCTCAAGACACATGAGAGGCAAAATAAGCGTGCTCATCGATTCTGTGCATAATACTTTTACTACAATACTCTTAGGGTGCGTTTGGTTGGATCTTAGTATTCTGCGTGATAGTATATTTTCTTGTATCCAATCCTTATTCATCTCATTGTAGCGTTTAAGTCGTTTGTTTCATTTTTAGATTTGAAGGATATCCATCACAATAATACATTATTTTGTTTGGTTGCAATTGCAAACTACAATATTTTATACAACCTTCCACATTTGCCCCTCTGAAATCCTTGTATTTTTTACGCATAACACAAAGCAAGAAATGAAGGTTTGGAAAAAAAATATTAGGAAAACCACTTCAAATTAATTAACGAACCTGTGAAATGAAAATCTTAGCCAAAATATTCCAAATTAATTTATACCTAGGAAAAGAAAATCCTACCAAAATAAATTCAGATTAAATTACATATGTGGAATACAAATCCTAGCCAAATTCCTTCAAAAAAATTTTAGTGTCACATGTCATACACAAAATACTTGACAATATATATATACAACACATAAACTGCTAAGTAGCTTGTAACTTAGGCCAAAAAATTTCCAGCTTTCCCGCAACATAGCATTGCTTGATTATATTTATCCAACAATGACAATTTGTTGTGGAAGCGTTCACTATCATTGATCAACTTCAAATGTTGAAGCAGTCGCTGAGTACATGTTGCCATACGTGTTAATGCTATAGAGTAGGTGTCTCCACATATACCTGCAGTGCAGAACAGTAAGAACAATCAAGAAAACGAGGAAAATTCAAACTTCCTTAGCTATAGGATTAAACTGAAATTGCATATCCACTTTCTCAACTTCCTCATTCAATCGACGTGCAACATGATTAGCACATGCAATAAGGTGTACAAGACATAGGCCTCTCTCCCTGAATCCCATTTCTGTAGGCTGAGGGCAGTTAGGGGATCATTCTAAATCTCTGGGGCAAAGGGACAACATATGCAGAGGGGATTAACTTTACTTGCAGCGGACGAGCCATCTTTCGTGACCACTTTTTCAGGCAAATAATGGTAAGAATAATAGAAAAGAAAATCTTCAACTAGTATGACAAGAATGATTTGAAAAGGTTGAAAAGAAAGGGAGATGAGATTCTCAGCTATAATATGTTACCGGTCAACAATTGTAACGCCCCGTTTTATTTTAGAGAATTTATCGAATTTATTTAATAAAAATCAGAGTTTTTTTTTTTTTAAAAAATCCAAGTTTAAACCTTTTTCGAGAAACGGGCGCTACTTACTAACATCAACCAACAACACACATCCAATAATACAAGGCAACTACACATGCACGAGCTAACAATAAAACAAATACCAAAACATAAGTCTCAAATCATTTTAAAAGGGGTCTAGCATTATTCAAAGTTCAACCAAATCGTACACATACATAAGTCAACAGTTATAAAAATAAATCAGCTTATTCAAGTCTCAACATTATCCAAAAAGTTTAACATAAATCCATGGTTCATCCAACACAAACATGATTTCAAGCTGAGGCATAAATAATCCAAAATAAAAGCAAGTAGTTCATCATATAATAAAAATAGGCGGAAGCAAAGACACATCAGTTAATGTGTAACGCCCCGTTTTAATTTCAAGAATTTACCGTATTTATTTAATAAAAATCAGAGTTTTTTTTTTTTAAATATAAATTAAAACATTTATCGAGAAACGGGCGCTACTTATTAACCACCACAAATAAACACACTCAATCAAACAATCCAATGAACCTACACATGCTCGAGCTATGAAAATGACAATCTCATAAATCATACATTTCAAACTCATTCCCGAACGACTAGCATGAAATCCAGGTTCAAACGAAAATCAAACATAGTTCGAAGGCAAATAAATAAATAAACCAAAGTATTTGAAAGCAACAAAATAAGTAACAAGTTCATGCACAACACATAATCAGTATACGAAATCAAGCAGGGATATAAACACATAATTAAATATCTAAATCCAAGCGGGAAAATCATTCAAGTCAAGTTCCAGTTCAACAAATCATAAACAGGCGGAAGCATAATACATCATCAAACAGTGACCACCATCTCGCTCGTCCTACGCCACCGCCTCCAGCTCGACTCAACCTAAAACAAAGGAAGAGAGAAAACAACAAAGAAAATAATGGGGGTGAGCAACCAACTAGCTCACC